CGGAGTCATCATTACCTTTTTTATTTTTTGACACCTTTTTCAAACCTTTGCCCCAATCAAAAATTGATGAATTTGTTCTTCGCCTTGGCCCACTTGAGACAAAATGACAGAATTGAAGAAATAATATGAGATTTTAGGGGGAAACAAAAAAATATACACATAGTGATGGCTGTAAGCAGCTAGAGCCCCCAAATGGCCGAATCTCGCCTCATATATCGATATGGTAGCAATTAAATATATGCTTGAACAATCAAAGATTAAAAGCGTTGCTTTAAGTGCTCGTTTATCTGTTTGCTACTCTGTTTGTCTGTATAATCGCAAAGATTTCGGCAAGTGAAGCAGCTGGAGCCTCAAAATAGACGAATCTAGTCACAACTGTTAGACATCTACCTTTGAAAATATCCAAATGTTTAAAATAATTGACTCTTATAGGCAGTTTTACAATATATCGCCTAAATCCCAATTGTAGAAATATTGGTGGTTTTAATGTAGTTTTGGAATATTACGAGCCTACTCATTAATAGTTTCGAAAGTTCAATTGGGGATTTACTAATGGTTATAACAATTTATATTAAAGTTGATGGACTTAAAAATTGATTAGTTTCCTTAATGTTAGCCGTATAATTCATAGCGTCTTCTCCAATATTTAGTATTCAATTTTGATTACATACATTAGGTGCAGATTTAGCTCTATATCTTAAATTATCATCAGAATAATCATACTATTATGCTTCAGATATATTTGCTACAAATTGACATTTTTTTAGTGCTTGTTTGTATGATCGCAAAAGTCTCGGCAACTGGATCAGCTACTCAGGTCGTCAAAGAGACAAATTAGTGTCAACTGTTAGTCATGCATTTATCAATTTAATAACTACCTTTCAAAGCTCGTCAATATTTGCTTTGTCATACTATATAATTTATGAAATATAATTTGTTTGAATCTATTAAAATCATATAATATGCACAGTTTCTTGAATATAATATTATTTCCCCTAAAACAAGTACGAAATAAATCTAGTTTTCTCCCACACCAAATTATTTGGGAATTTCCCTTTCAAAAAAACCATTTAATGGCAATAAATCTCATGTAAATACAAATTCCGACTGTTTGTCTCAACATATCTCGATCTGATCTCGGTCGATCACTTGAATCAAATCAGAAAATTTCCGGGTTCATGAAGTGCATTTAAATATCACTTTAAGCTAAGCTAGGATGTGAAAATGAATTAAAATTATAAAATCTGTGTAGCACAAATTTGTGTGTAAGCTATTAGCATGTCTGGCCGTAGCTGCAAAGAAAATTACAGTTTGGCTCAGAGATCTTTACAATACAACATGCACTGCGTTTTTAAACTTTGTAAATACATTTTATCGCAAATATCTGCATATATATTTTCATTAACATAATCAAATACATACACACCTTAACCGAAACACTGAGTCGATCGCACTTGCCTTTGTAGCCTTCTCAAAAAACTGGTATGAGAATTTGAAAAGCAAGCAGAATTGCGAACTAAACGTTTGCTATTTTACCGGGAATTGCAGAGGAGCACATTAAAAATTGGAAAACTTTTACGAGCACCTCATGAAATTTGCACAGACTTCATGGAATTTAATTTGAAAACCCTGTTTTCCAACATTTGTGCATTCAAGCACGAAAAAACACTTAAAACAAATTCAAAAATTCTCAGCGTCTTCGAATCACTTAACATGCACACAAAATTTCAACAATTTCGCAACAAATTTCACACAACAGATAATTGGCTTAAAATATTAAATATATTTACCGTAATTTGCAAATCTGAAGCTTGTTTTCCAGGAACGCTCTGCTCAGTCGTTCGAATCCGACGAGAATTTTGTGCACATTTTGTTTGTAAGGAAGATTTACACCAATAAAAAATTCAAAAAAAAAAAAAACAACAAAACCAACAATAGGAACAATCGCCAAAAAGTTTTGAAACGCGCCAAATGTAAATATTTTCTGTTTTGTTTTTATTTCTTGTGGTTTAGATTAGGTTGTTGTTGCTATTACTGTGCTGAATATTTCAGAAATCGAGAAGTGGAAAATACTAAGCGCCGCACTTGGAATTTAAATTTTCAAAACACTTTTTTGACTAAAGTTTTTCAAGAAACAAAACAAAATGTTGGATTTTTATTAATGTTGCTTTGGTTATTGGCTCTTGTTGTTGTTGTTGGATTTTGTTGTTGTTCTTGTATCTCAACATGGTCCATAGCCACCCAAAAAAAATAAATAAGAATGCTGTCTCAAAGTTTTTTAATAAAAATTTGTTGTTTGCTTTTATGAGTTCTGTTCCTCGCTTGTCCGTTGGCCGAACAACGCGCGTCGTCGTCGGGCGTTCGAATAAAACTGATGTGAAACAGAATTGGCCCAAGGAATATAACAACATTGCGGCTGCCATAAAGCACCGACAACGTCGCGTCGTGACGCCACCAACAGCAACAGCAGCAACAGCAGCAACAACAAAGACAACAGCAACAGCCCAACGAGAGCGACGGCGCTCTGCTGGTTATAGCAGAGAAAGAGAGAATAACATAACGCCTGCAATGAGAGCGAGCCAACAAGCGAACAAACGAACGAACCAGCAACTGCCACTATGTAAGAGTATGTGGAGCGTGGCAGTGGGCGAGTGGGAGAGCGAGGAAGCGTGCTCGCACGGCCCGATAAACACCTGTAAGCAATGCCGGCTCGGCCTAATGTTTTTCATACTCTCTACTCATGAGAGCGACCCGAAGAGCAGACCCATTTCAGCCATTTACGGCCGTAAGTCCTACACACACACACACCTGTCTCATCAGAGACATTTGTTTTGCTTAATTCTCTGATTCTTGTGTAAATGGAGAAATGCAAAGCTAACAGTGTACTGATAAAATATACCCTTTACTTTCGGATTCGGCTCAAAAACTACATGCTCAGCTGAGGTTCTAGTCCATATATAAATTCCTATTTTTGATGAACTAAAAATGAACTTCCATAAAAATTTGTTACAAAGCTTAGAACAGCGTTTTGAAGCGTTTTTTGATATGATATCGACTCATAAGTTGAGAAACTAGTGCTCAAGAGAAACCAAACTATCGTCTTAATGTTTACGTTAATTTTTTTAATTTCGGATATAGATCGATAAGCGGCAATCGGGTTTTTAAAACAGGTATAATATGGGTTTTGATTACGACTAGAATTTAATCGGTTAAGTACGTTTGATGTTTGAGATTCTAATAAGAAGGGATTGTAAATAAAAACGACTTTAAAGATGAGATTCTAAACTACTTTTTTGTTTATTTCATTTTGGCATTAACTTTTGAAATTGTGGACAAATTTTGAAATTCTTCTTAATCAATCTTCTTAATCTTCATATTATATTTTCTTAAAACAATACAAAATTATTATTTTAAAATTATAGAATTTCAGAATCAAAAAATAAAATTTTGATATTAATTTCAATTTCTTTTATTTTTCTTTCTTTTTGTATTTTTTTGAATTATTCAAATTTCAATTATTTTTTTTTGCCCCCCTGTTTATTTACATTTGGCTTTAAATCGAAGGTGAAGGAGCAGCCAAGAAATGGGTCTCATTTATAAAATATGTAAATAAATTATGTTCAAGAAAATAAACCAAAAATTGTTGTCGTTTACTCAGCATTTGATTAATGTTTGGATAATCAAAAAAAAAGATAATTGTAATCCTCGAAAGAGTAAAATTCGCTCTAAACAATTTCAACTTGAACAAAGAACATTCGATAGTCGCCTGAAAATAATATTACAAGTAAACACTAGAGACTTAGTTTAAGGAGCTATTTATTCAGTAAGAGCGTTGTCAAACATTTTTATTTGCTGATTAAGAGCACTCCATAGTCGCCTAGTGGTGCTACTACAGTTCTCTCTTGTTTGGCTTGTTAGCCAGAGTAGTAGAGCACGAAATTCGCCAATAAGGACGAAGAGCGCAATCGCTTACTAGGCAGGCGGGCAGGCTGGTCGGCAGGACGGAAGCGGAAGGAAACTCAACAGTTGGCACATTACAGGAGCGTGTGGGCGTTCGTCTTATGCCCAAAGCTACTTGTTGTTGCCATAAAATGCCATACAAAAAAAAAATAAGGAAGAAACGCCAAAAACTTTATGGCAACTGTACCAGAAAATATAATTTGAAAATGCGTGGCGCGCTTTATTCGTGCAACTTGAATATTTTTACAAATTTATAATTAAATATTAGAAGAATATTATTGAACTAGTTGTATATACCGTATATACCCGTATATAATTCGAGAATATTGAAAAGTTTTTCGAGAGCTGACACTTAGATGAGACTGTCTAGTATGATATCCCAGATGCTACAATCATCGTCATCGTCGTCAATGGCCGACAACAGTTGGCGCAAACGTCTTAGCTGCTCCGGATCCTTGGCGAGCTGATCGACTAAGTTTTTAGCCTCGTTGCCGAGGATGCCATGTTTGCGCAATATTTCCAGAATTTGCTTTTCCAAATTCTTTTTCGGCTTCATAGGAGGTTGGGGTTGGGGTTGGTTTTGTCGAGCTAGGCGCGAAGAGTCCATATAGTTGTTGAAGGCCAGCTGGGCCTCCAGAGCAGCATTTGTGCCATCCACAAAGGAATCGAATGGGCTTTTTGCTATGCGCTCAACCGCCAACCATTTGGCCTGGAGGTGGGGATCCAGAAACTCCTCAGGGCTGGGGTGCTTCTCGAGCAGACGCTGACAAGCGGTACGATAGACGCCATATAATTTCTCCTGAACATTCGATTTCTGCCCAGGAGCAGGAACAGCGGCTCCGCAAGCAGCGCAGGCCCAAACAATACAAAACAACACTGGAATTTGCATGTTGACTAAAAGTTTTGTGTGGGTCTGAAGTGTGTAGGTCGAGCTATTTATACTCATTGTATACAAGTATAATGTTGACTGACTAGTCGGGAAGTCAGTTAAATGCATTGATAAGCGGGTTATTTATTATTTTCGCTAATTAGTTGCTGCATAACATTCATTGCACAACTCGCTAAAGTGAAGAACTGATAATCAAAATTATTATAAAGTGGAACACTTCTGGTCTCGTTATGTGTGCAAATTCCCAGACGCTACCCGTCGTTAACTTTTATGAGTTAGAACTGGCACTGTTGTTCTTCTCCAGCACCACCTTCATGGCCCGCATCATGGTCGGCAGCAGGCCGACATGCTTGTCCACACAGTCGACGGCACAGCGCTCGAATTGGACGGCCATGTTCTGCCTTTGTTCGCCAGTCTCCTGGAGACGCATCTGCATCTTCACATCGTCGTTGCAGGACAGGACGCAGCGCTGCAGGCGAGTCTGGAAATCGCACAGCTCCTGTTGCACGTAATTTCGGGCCCGCACCAACGGCAAGTGGCATCGGTCCACACATCGTTGCACGTTCTCAGCACTCGCCTCCACATCCAGACAGCAGGTCGAGGCACACTTGTGCATGTCCAGCTGCAGTTTCCGCAAATGCTGGCGGTCCATGTCATCCACCACTGTGGAGAGCGCCTTGTCGATCCGCTCCCGCTGCTCCTCAAAGATCTGCCTGTCGTCCATGGAGTGCATTGCGGCCACAAACTCAATTTTTGTTTTGGGAATTTGTCTCTGTGAGTTTTTATGTGAAATTTAACGCATGTGTTTATTTACGGAAGTCGGGTGTAAATAATACTACTAAGCAGAGGTATGAAACGTAAAAAAAACTGTAAACACAGTGCCAAGATTTTTCAAAAACTTAACTAATGTGTTGTTGACTGAGGTCTGGACGGAAGTCGGCTAAAAGGCACAAGAGTGAAATTTGATTGAATTTTTGAATTTTTTTACACTTCAATCACACATTTTATAAAACTTACTAAGTCGTTTAGCGTATTGCTTTTTTACATCACAATAATTCAACATTGGCTTACATTTATTTATTTACATTAGTTGGTATACAGAGATTATAAAATAAAAACTAATTACAAATTAGGAGTGCTAGCTACCTTGGCCATCGACTCGACTTCTAGATTATAGACATTTTATATATAATTTATGGAAAATATGAAAGGTTTTAAGACATTTTATAACTAGTTCGGTGTTTTGCAAGCCAAAGGGTTTGCTATTAATTCTAGAGTTGTGGAAGTAAGTGCAATTATCTAATAGATATGCAGGCAGTTAGGCTTGGGTTCTAATATATCGATAATCGGTACCCCTATGACATATATACCATTTAATTGAAGTTGGAATTTTATATGTAATGAAAAATGTATCAAATCTATCATACAATTTGTTGTGCAATCGATACACCGATAACATACATATATGATTGCGATCAAAAATGGTGCAGCAGTTATCGAACGTTCAAACATACTTTTCTACGTTATGGAAAATACACCGATTACATATATGCTAAAAATAAACGTACTTACATTGCTTTTCGCACTTTAGGCCATACATTTTTTGATATAAGGGTGATCTTAGCCAATCATGTAATATTTATCGCTATGTTATCGATCATTTCTAATACAATAAAGAGGTTGATAACTAAGTAAAAGTGTCAAAAAAAAGACTATATGTACTATATAGTACATGCATCATCAAACTGTCAATGCTTAGTCTAACGACCAACGACGACATTCCCTTCCCCCGGCGCGCCGCGGCTGTAATCAATTATTAATGAATGCTGTCCCGCAAACATCGTTTATAAACAATTATATCGTTGTGCTTGTTTACCCAATCAGAGCAAATGGCAACCGCTTAGATTCGCCCCAATGCTCCAATGTAGAAATTATTCATATGCGCGCCTGCCAATCGATATGACAAAATATAACAACATCAACAACAATAACTCCTTAAACACAAACAAACATACATAATTCATATTTCATATGTGTAAATTCTTGTGTGTGTGTGTGTGTGTTGGTGTTTGGTCTTTGTTTGTAGTGTGTGGCATACTTTTGGGGGCGCGCACAAAAATTCATGCCGCACATCAAAAAGAAATCTTGCACAAGACTGTCTGCCTGCCCGCCTGTCTGTCAGCCAATGGCACAATGACCATATGATGCGGCCTGCTCCGTCCGTCATTCATTCAGCCAGTCAGTCAACCAGTCAGTCAGTCAGAAGGCAGTCGCCGGCCTACACTATCAATGAGCAATCAGCCTGCGCTTCGCCAAGCGTCGGGCCAAAAACACTATGGCCGTAGGGGTAGGCGGGAAGTGGCTGTGAGAATAGCACAAAAGCTACAGGCGGAAGTTTAAAAAAAAACCAACAACAACAAGTGACACAAAACAGTGACAACAACAACAAGAAAATAGAGAAAAAAGATGGCAACTGTGGCGATTCGTCGTCTAACAAAATGTTTTCACATTATTCAAATGAAATGCTTTTCATTGTCTGCTTACCAACATTGCAAACAATACCAATAATAATAATAATAATAATAACAGCAACTACATGCAACAACAAAATTATATCAACAATGGAAGGAGAGCAGCAAACAAAAATATTACCTGCATTCAATGCATGGTACTTAAAATGGAATCATTTGGCGCTTTGTTTCAATTGTGTGGCGAAGCAAGAGACAACAAGAGCAACAGCAACAACAACAACGGCAACAACAAAACGGCATCATGTGGCAGCTGCTAAAGATAATGTGTGGCAGACATTTTGGGGGCGTCATGGCGAATAATAATAGGAGAGAGAGAGAGAGAGAGAGGGAAAAACACCCAACTGATCGCCGATAAATGCAATTTCAATTTTCATTAATCTGTTTTGGTTAAAAGGGACACACACACACACACACACATAAATAAAGAAAATAGAAAATGTCTGTACACACACATATGTATGTAAGTATATGCTTCCATTTCTGGAAAACAAAGGAAGTGCTAGAGTAACAAAAGCAGTTGAAATGCGAAATGGCAACTGCACACAAAAACAACAATGAAATGAAAGTTATGCGCTTATCAAATAATGTCACAAATTAAAAATGCGCGTGTGTGCATTTGTGTGTGTGTGTGTGTGTGTGTGTGTGTGTGTGTGTGTGTGTGTGTGTGTCGGCGTGTGTTTGTGTGGGCGTTGTAATCAACGAAAAGTTAGACAGACAGCGACAATTGATACGAAGTGGCAGCATTATAATGATAACTGCAAAACTAATTCAAATGTAAAATGAAATGCAGTCAAAGAAAACAAACCGAATTGTACATACTTTCTTTTTTTTTTTTTTTGGGTTTGATAATTCTCTCGTATACATGTAGGGAATTTAGATTGGAAGGTACATATAGTATGTAAGGTAAAATAAAACAGAAAAAACACACATACATCTATTACTAATACTTTAAAAAAATTAATAAAATGAGACATTTTATTAGAAAATGTTGTTCATGGCTTTTTATTGTAAGCTTTATAAGTTTAATATGAATTAGGAATGTGTTAAATAAAATAGTACACAGTCAATAATTGATATAAAAAATAGCGATAAACGGTCCATCTCGAAATAAAAAGAAACTATTCAACATAATACAAGTTTTAAAACATTTATATATATTATATTATAATTTTTAAATTATAATTTTAAAATCATTGGTAATTACTAACACACTTGCGGCTAAAACTTCATAGATTTTCCTTTTTCTCTTTCTGCTCCTCGCTTCATCTTGACAGCTATTAAGTAAAATTAAGTTTTATTCTTCTATCTATATCTATTTGTTTCATTTTTTTTAGCTCCATAAAAGAAGGCATAGCTTGGCAAATGGCAAAAAAAAATTCCCCCAACGTGTCGCTGGCATTAATAGACAATATTGTAATGTTCTTTCGAGGATTTCTTATTGTTTTAAGTTCATATTATACTTAATATTATTTTATATCTATATTTTAAGTTAACATAAAACATCTTATATTAATCTGTATCGACAATAAACGAAATAATTATAAAATAAAAAAATCGATTTTTTAAATAAAATAAAATTTTACCAATAAATATTTTTTTCACACGAAAAGTCTTTAGCCTTGCTTTTCATTTTCCTTAAAGTTGTGTGCCTCTTCTTGCCTTTCCGTTTCACTTCAATTTCAGTTTTGTATTGCAGGCGGTTACTTTTCATTTTAAACCGGATATCGCGCTTTATTTTTCTCTGTGTTTTACTAATTTTCCACATCAAATAATTTTAATAGCAATGTTTATTACCCAATAATTGGAGAGGGGGAGGTGGATAAAACTCATTTGCGATTTACATAAAAAACTTTAACATTAAACATATTTAAAAAAAAAAACAAGAGAGAACGCTACAGTCGAGCAAGCCCGACAGTGTAATACCCTGTACCCAGGTAAACTTCCGTCACTGAGTTATATGCGCCCATAGCAGCAGCAAAAAGAGGAAGAAGAAGAGCGAACTTGTTGCTGCAGTTTGGGGGGGTTGTACTGTCGAGAATTTGTTTCGCTAATAACTTTTCTTAGAATTGACCGAATTGAATAAAATTTTGAACAACAGTAGACAATTATATATAAATTATGTGTGCAAAGTTTGGTTTAGGTAGCATTTGAAATGTGGACGCTATTGACGAAATTCTGCAGCGGGGGAAGGGGGGGAAAATTAAAAAAAAAAAAATAAACTCGTCCTTACTCGGACCTAGGAGAATCTGGATGCCAACTTTGGTTATTCCAGCTTTTATAGTTTCTGAGATCCTCGCGTTCATCCAGACGGACAGACGGACGGACAGACGGACGGACAGACGGACAGACGGACGGACATGTCTAGATCGATTTCTCTCGTCATGCTGATCAAGAATATATATACTTTATGGGGTCGGAGATGCTTCCTTCTGTATGTTACATACTTTGCACAAACCTAATATACCCTTTTTACCCTACGGGTACAGGGTATAAAAAGGAAGGCTTTTTTCACACTAATACGAAAATAATTAACTTCTGCCAGCTGTCAAGCGAATGTCAAAGCCATAAGGCTTTAATAAATGCTCTCGAGAAGTTTCCGTCGGCAGACGGAAGTGAAATTGCAGCATTTTCTGTCCCAAATGCTCACAGCGAGGCATTCAATCCATTTGGCGCGGACAATTCAGTAGAACAAACAGGCCAACTAGACCTTCACGGCAATACACATAAAAACAAGAGCAACTCGAGCAACAGAAACAGAAACAGAAACAACTATAACAACAACTAGAGCAACAACAACAACTACATCAACTGCAGAGCCGCAACACTTTGACAAACCAAGAAAAGCATTTCCCAAATGCGGCTCTGAAGAGGATCTGAGGTCTGAGTTCTGAGTTCTGAGACCGCCTCTTGCCTCAAACACTGCCAGTGACACTGCGGCACTGACACGCCTGATATGATATGATAATTTTTCTTCAAGCTCACGTTTATATATGCAGACAGCTGCTATAAACATACAGCAACACGAACAGGCGGACAGACAGACAGACAGGCGCACAAACTACATATACTACTACAACAGAAACAAAATAGAATGCTACAGTCTGCAGTGCTGTCATAATTTGTTGAGCAAAAACAGCTAGATTGCCAAAAAAATAAAGCTAAAAGAGCTAAATCGAAGTCAAATTAAGCTAAAAAAAAAAAACAAGCCGGCTTTGAAAACACTATTTTCTTGGTTAAATTTAAGGAAATTTCTGTTTTAATGTTTTCATATTAATTCTATAT